GCAGAGTGCCCGAAGACGAAGTGGGCAGAGGAGTAGAGTGCAGCGATAGGTAGTGGCAGCTAGCGCTGCCATAGCTGTAGCCTAGCATGTGTGTGCGTGAAGTGTGATACTGAGTGTTGCGTGTGGGACATCCAGGGTGATCCAGAGTGCGAACAGTGAGTTGTGTGGGCGCTCAGTCGCCATAGCCAGTTTGAAGAGAACTCTTATGTGGATACGATATCTTGAGTACTGAGTGGGCGCCTGTCGCCAATTTGCTGTTTCGCTGTTTGCATACATGACAAGTTGAATAATCGTAGTGTGATTTCAGAAGGGGGAAACGGTTGGGGGGGCTATGAGATTGCTATAGGGTTGGTATGGACTAGTAGAAGTGGATGCCGATAATGTATGGCTCGACTGGGAAGTTCGAGGTCCGGTTTCCTGTCTAGAGGGTGGGATAGCTCGGGAGTGTAGTGTATAAGGTGGCTGGTCATTCACACCCGTTCGATGGGAGAACGGCTAGGGTTCTACTAGGTCGGGTTGGGGGATAAAACTGCCTGAGAGTGGACCCATAATAGTGTCCAGTTAGGGGAATGGAATCGGTGGGGACTGGCTACAGTCCCTGCTCGTAACTGGTCGGCGTTGGAGGGACACGACATGCCATAGGACTTCAGGATGGTCTGAAAAAAAGGGTACTCTGTATAGGTGGTCTACAGGAGGCTAAGGGGGCCATCCGAACTCCAAATGACTGAGTCCCAGGGATCTTCCAAAGTCTGACTCCCACCTAACAACAACCTGTGTGTTCGTTTTTTTTTTTTTTTTTTTTTTTTTTTTTTTAAAGGGAGGGGGGGGGAAATTCGATACGTTATGTTTGCATAACTTTGTGGGTGACCTAACATGCAGATTGCCTAACCCTTTTAATAATATTACAAGCAAATTAAGCTTTTGGACCTGCAGTCGAAAATGCGACCTAATTTGCCTTTTCAAGTAATAGTACAAACAAATGAAGCTTTCGGACCTGCAGTCGAAATGCGGGTCAATTAGGAGAAGGCTAGTTGCTGGTTGAAGGGCCCTTTTTCCTAGTTGCTGGTTGAAGGACCCCTCCCCCCTCAAAAAAAAGCCAGATGGGGATGGGCATAGCCTTTTATTAAACCCGTTGGAAACTGAGGTACCAATACAGTTTATTGGGGGGAAGACAGTAATTTGTAAGTAATGTGGGTCTTGATGGTGTGGCAGCTAACAAGTTTGAAAGTGGTGAGAATTGTTGGTCCGTCGGTGGTAATCGTCTAGAAAATGTCGCAAATTCCCTGGCATGTCATGTCATCTTTTGCTCTGTTTGTTAAAAGATCCGGACCCAAAGAAGTTAAAATAAATCAAAGGAGAAGGGGTGTTGGTGTGAAATGACCACTAAACAAGAACCTGGGTCCGACCTTGAGAAAAAGCGTTTTTTTTCAGAAATGGAGCTGCAATGAAATCAGCTATTTCCAGCCCGTTTCTGCCCTCTTTTTTGTCTGCCCTATCTCAATTTCGTGGGTTTGATAGTATTGATACGGAATCTCAGTTTTGCTGAACTGGCTGTTACCTGGTTACCAGATGTGTGATGTTAGATCTGGATTCTGGACATCATTTTTGAAATGAAACTATATGCTTGTGATGATTGTTACCGATATTAAGACTGGATGCAAATAAATTTTGGCTTTGACTATTCTCCTTGTGTTTCTCTCCTTCAATTGCTTGGGCCTTCCTTCTCCCCTTCCTCCTGTCTGTTTGTCTGTCTGTTTGTCTGTTTGTCTGTCTGTTT